ATGCAGCCCCTCAATTTTGGTTTGTCTGATGTCCCATCAGGAGTAGATTCTGGTTATACAGTTTGGGCAGGAATAATACAGAGCTTATGTTTTCAGGACATCAAAGCAAGCACACATCTGTCCCAGTACTGGTGATTTTAACTTTGCCTGCCTTGATGCCCAAGGTGGTGTCCACCAGGTATCTCCACTGTAAAGTAGCTATTTTTCTCCTTTATAATTATTAAAGTACCTTGTGTGGAGAGAGACTGATTAATAAGTCAAACAGAACATGTTCGTTGTGATTTTTTACTAACAGCAGTACGTAGACTTGAACTAAAGTGGCCCTGTGATATGACAGAGGAGATATACAATTTGTGTGTAACAAATTATAATCTTTACATATATAAATGCTTCTTGTCTGGTTGAAGAAAAACCCAGATGTGGGGGAAGGGGGAGTATATAACCTTATCCTGAAATCTGCCTGTTTTCAGTCTCTTCCGTCCCAGTGTCTCTTGGACCAGAGCACTGAGCTTTCATTTTATACAAAATTTGTGACATTATTTCATCAAATTTTATTTTATTTATTTATTTTGGCTGCCCTGCATGGCTTGCGGGATCTTAGTTCCCCGACCAGCAATCGAACCCGTGCCCCCTGCAGGGGAGGCTCGGAGTCCTAACCACTGGACTGCCAGGGAATTCCCATTATTTCATTATGAAAAGGAATATTCTCTAGAAAATCGCTGGAAAACAGAGTAAAAAGAAATTCATGTTACCATCTAAAGTCTACTAGTGGCTTTTTGGTGTGTAATAAGTTTTAAAACTGATTTTGCAAGTTAGCATGGAGACCTTACCATTAATTTTTTTTTTTTTTTTTTTTTTTGCGGTACGCGGGCCTCTCACTGCCGTGGCCTCTCCCGTTGCGGAGCACAGGCTCCGGACGCGCAGGCTCAACGGCCATGGCTCACGGGCCCAGCCACCCCGCGGCATGTGGGATCTTCCCGGACCGGGGCAGAACCCGTGTCCCCTGCATCGGCAGGCGGACTCTCAACCACCGCGCCACCAGGGAAGCCCCTTTACCATTAATTTTGAAAGTTTTTCATGAGGAAATTCTAAATCTCAAAGGAACCAAATACATTTGTATTCTGTGTATGTAAATGGCACCCCTGGGGTTGTGCAGTGCACAACCTATACAAACGTACACATGGCCCTAACTATTGGTGCTGTGTTCATCTTTTAGTTGTAGCATGGGGCTGGCCACTTGAGAAGTGTTTGGGGTAGCTGGAGTTACACACAGCCACACTAAGGTTCACAGCAACACTTCAGAAAGGAGCTAGTAAAGGAGCATATCGGTTTAATTGGTTAATTGAATTTTATGCCAGGCCCTTTACTTGCCCGTCGGCAAGGGCCTCAGAGTCCTGTGCGAACTCATCAGCTCGTGGAGGGCTTAGGCCTCCTCTCATGCTCTCAACTACAGAAAGCACACTTATTATCTACAGGGACGATATCAAATAGTTCTGTTCATCTGAATGCAAAAGTGAAACAAGTCCCATTCATATTTATTATAAATTGTTATTCACAGCACTATTTAATTACAAGGGAAAAGTAGTTAATGTCTTTTGCAAGTGATTATGTTTTAACCAGGGGTATGTACGTAAAGAAACCCTGGGGAGGGGTCTGCCTCCCCCCTTTTTTTAATAAATGGGGGGGCCTGGAGAAGCCACTTCTGCCTGTATTTCATTATCGGTTTGAAACTTTAGGTGGCCTCTCAGTCTTCCTAGAGTGTCGGCAAATGGCACTGACCAGATCCCTCCCCGGAGCCAAGTGCTGCTCCAAGTATCCACTCTGACCAGCTTCTGTGCCCTCCCGAGGCAGCTGGCCATCTTCCCTCACCACAAGCTGGAAGCAAGGAGGAAGAGGTCACTTTTACTGTATCCCCATCAGAGAGCTGTTGCTTCTTAGGAGAGCCTGTGAGCACTGAGGAGTGGGAGGTCTGACTGCTCCACGGGAAGATGCCTGTGTGGATTCGAACTCTCACCAAACAGTTGGGACGGTTTAGGCTGTTCTCGCCTAAAATACAGGCTTTCTGGCATAAAGCAAAGTTATTTTGGAGGGCCCTGGGGCACCTTAGGGATACACAGTTGTTTCCCAGTAGTTGAAAGCAGCATAACGTGTGACTATGCAGACTTCTAAAAAACACTATGGACAGAGATAAGTGATGGTAAATGAAATAAAAGTCACAAAGGCAGATGCCCCAATCACGGGCTAGGACCTGTGCCGTTCTCCACGCTGGTAGTTTCTGGTGAGAGGGCAGCAGCAGTTTCTCCAGTTACAGTACACCAGCCAGTGACCTACAGATACGGAGACAGTCTCCCTTCTCTGACCCTATCCCTCCTCCAACTCCCCCCTGGGGGCCTCCCCTCTCCACCGCCATGTCCCTCAGCTCCTCGCCCTGCTGGCCTTGGCACCATCCAGAACGGGAGGGCTTCACCCAGCAGCTTCCTGTCCCAGGGCGCTGAAGTTGTCTGCAATCTGCAAGCTGAGTGCTGCAGAACCCCCAGGGGGCGCTATTCACACTGAGGCGCAGGAGATGGCATGTTCACTTAAAAAGAAAATTCGTGGCACAAATCAAAGTGTCTTGAAAGATGGGTGTCTTATCTAATTCACATAACGGTACATTATGCAATGGCAGCGTCCTTGATCCAACTCACCCATCATCTCTGGGTGACCTATTATTGATGTAGGGCCTACTTTCCTCCATTGATCTTCATACTCCTAAATTGTATCCAGGGTACATAGTCCATAATGTGCTTTATAGAATACATGCAAGAATCAAATACCCCTCCTCCCGTATAATATATGAACCTTGAATTAAACAGTCTCGGTATCAAATGGGGTCTTGTAGGGACCTTCTGTAACTGTATAAACCTAAATAATGGAAGTGAGTCTGTTTTCTCCTATACAATGAACACTGCATTGTACAGATCAGGGGTCATCAAACTCTTTCTGTAAGCGTTCAGGTAGTAAATATTTTAGGCTTTGTAGGCAAACAGTCTCTTGCAACTACTCAATTCTGCCTTGCAGTGCAAAAGCAGCCATAGGGTCCCAATAAAAGTTTACTTATGGACACTCAAATGTAAATTTCATATACTTTTCATGTGTGATGAAATATTATTCTTCTTTTGATTTTTTCAACCATTTAAAGATGTAAAAACTATTTTTAGCTTACAGCCTGTACAAAAACAGGGAGCAGGCTGGATTTGGCATGTGGGCAGCAGTTTGCCCTGTTATAGGTAATTTATAGACTTTTTCCAGCTCAAACATGATTATGTACTTAGCTTGACTAGAAATTAATGTCCCAAGTTAGTATAAGTATTAATCCCATTGCTTAGTCATTTATTTGACAAAGTAGAACCAGGTGTTTCTTTTTGGAAAATACTATTAAAAAGGAGTATCTTACTTACTCAAATAATTCCTGTCCTTTCTCCCTGGGGCTGGATAACAGGCCAGCCCCATGCCTCCTGGGGATGCTTACTGAGGAAGGATGGCGCGGGCCTGAGAGGAGAAGCACGGTTGGACGCTTGGTGAACCCAGTTGGGTGTCAGTGTAGCCCCTCCCCTATAAAGCAATAACCTTGTAGAGTTTGGCCCTTGAGTGGCACCTGGAAATAGTGCTGGCCCTGGGCTTGGGCTCTGAGTCTGTCACTCACTGAAGCTGCTGCCTGCAATTAAGAAGGGCCTTTCTGGGCCTGAACCCCAGTCTGCCCCAGGACACTGGACTGATTCCACCCCGAACCCAGTTCAGCCTTATCAGAATCTGGTCCCCACGGCCAGTCTGCTTTCCCCCGACTAGCTGGCACCTCCTTTTATGGAGGGTGGCACAGAAGAGCTTATTCCTAACAGAGCTGATCTGTCCCCCTTTCTGCTGCGTTCAGACTCTTAACCGGTTCTCTTCCTGCTGTATACATGTCCTCCTCTCCTCGCTGGGCTGCTTCGTGTGGCCCAACAGAGGAAGCTCTTCTATCTTACATTTCCTAAATGATTTGAGGGAGGTCTTCACCATTTCCCTCTACTAACTCTTTCTCCAAACCTGTCCCAACTCAAGGTGCACCTAATCAATAGACATCTCACAAGGGGACTCGTCTGGGGTGGGTGGGTGTCCTTTTCTCTCATGTCACCCTGGATGGAAGGGTGCACAATGATTGGTTAGAAAGTCAGCCCAAGAGCCAATTCCTCACCAGAGGCACAGGGCCCCAACAGAGACACAGAAGGTGGTTCCATCGACTGGTGCTGGAAGCTTCATATACCTCCTGTCAGCATCGCCTCTTCCCACTGTCAAGGTTAGGCTGCCAGTAGGGGCTTCTTTCTCAAGCAACCTTACGGCAACATGTCACTTTCTGTGCGTGTTGGAGGGGAGGAGTGAAGCTACGCATCCATTTCCTAAACGTTAAGAGTCATATATATGGATTTTTTTTTTTTAGAATATATTTCCTTTTATTTATTTATTTATTTGGCTGTGCCGGGTCTTAGTTGTGGCACGCAGGATCTTTTAGTTGCGGCATGTGGGATGAAGTTCCCTGACCAGGGATCGAACCCAGGCCCCCCTGCATTCGGAGCGTGGAGTCTTAACCACTGGACCACCAGGGAAGCCCCCATATAAATGGACTTTTAATTAATATCCTCTGGACAAAATAACCCATCGGTCCTTGCATTATCAGAAGACTCGCAGGCCCAGTGTCCATCACTATTGCCCATTGCCTAATTCTCTTTACACGCCTTGCTCAACACATGTGACACACCACGTACAAACGCAGCGCTGATGCAGCTTCTGAGAACCCCCTTCCTAACTTTTCAAGGAATCAAGTGACACAGGTCAACATTTCCTGCCGCGTGACCATGAGGCCTCTGGGTAGCTCTACTGGGTGTTATTTAAGAAAACAAAAATTTAGATATAGTCATTTTTAAAAGTTGAAACTTTGCAGAAAATAGACCAAAATAAAGAAGGTGAAGAGGAAAAACTTCACAGACTTTTAAAAAGTTAACTATACAGTCTTTTATTTCTAGCTTGAAAAGAAAAAAATGACCCTTAAATTAATAGGAAACTATTTACAGGATTAATCACATTTTAAGCCAGGACACTCAGTGTCCCTTGTTACAGGGAGAGGCTGGGACAGCTTAGGTGACCTGCCCAAGGGGCCCAAGCTCCTTGCCATAGCCAGGAGAGGACCCCGTCTCCTGACCACCTGGCCCCACCCACAATGTACAAAATATCAGAGGGGTGCCACAGCCATTTTGATAACAAATAATTATGGGCCTTTTTAGTGTTTAAGAGAAACCTTAATTTTTTTGGTATGTAGAATCGGTCTAGAAACTTGTAGGATTTAGGAAATTCTTAGTTTAAAAAAAGTAAGTTTTTCTCTCCCACGGGACCCAGGACCTCTCCCCAGGCACCCCCGGGTCTTTTCATGACAGGAATAAGGAGTCGTGGGCTCCATCAAGTCCTGACAGGCACATCCGCAGCTTCACTGTCTCAGGGTCCTCCTTCCACGGGCTGGTGGCTTGGATCTGTGCTTTGGTTCAAAGTGTTTTGGAGAATGTCTTCTTGCTTATTCTCTGGAAACGACACGATGGACACAGAGTCCCAGGCATCATCCTTTGGCGAGCTGTCCTTGTCCAAGGCGTCTAAGATGGGCTGAGCTGGATCCTTTAAATACTTGAAAAGGTTGAACACCATTATCATAATTTGTTTATCAGTTCCAAATACCAGAACTTCATACTTTAGTTTTAGTTGGCATTATCCTATTTCATTCAGGTATAACTTCCAATTCTGTCCACCAACGAAGTAACTTCTAAAACCGGAACCCCTGTTCACCCCCCATCTCAATAACTCACATGAATCCAAGGGCCAACCCAGGGAATACTCTGAAAGCACGAAAGGGCGGCGTAACTCAGGAAAAGCAAGTTCTGACTTGCTGCACTGGATGAGGGCTTGTGGATTATCAATCCTAAAATGTCTCTGGAATTCTAACTTTTCAGGGAAGGAGGAAATGGAGCCTCTTGTTCAACTACCATGGGGGCAGAGAGGGAAAGTTCACGAGCATTTTTCTCAGCCACTCCATCCACTGGTTGGTTCTACTTCACACAACACACGGGGTGCAGAGGATCTGCGCTATGCAGCCCTGGGCGAACCAGAAAGCGCAGGTCCTCAAGGCAAAGTGCCGGTCCACAGGCCTTAACTTGCCCTGGCCCTCCTGCCTTGGCTCTGGGCTTAGCCATCAATTACCAAGTTACCAAGAACCAACTGCCTGGCTCTTGGAAATGCTGAAAGATACTGAAATACGGTCAGCTTAGAGCTGGCTGGTGAGAAGACGAATAACCACGAATCACGCGCACTTGTGAAACCTCAAAAATATAAGTGAAACCTGATTCATTATTCTCATGTAACTTCAGTGACCTTTGATATAGACTTTTCACACTTTCCCAGAAAAGTGAACCGAAAGACTTTATGTTTTAGATTCAAGCACCAAAGGAACAACTAGTAGTGAATTCACTTACTACGGTCCTGCTGCTAGTTCTGTGAGACAGAGTTATTTGTTTGTTTGTTTTTTAAATTTTTTGCCTGTGCCACGTGGAATGCGGGATCTTAGTTCCCTGTCCAGGGATTGAACCTGTGCCCCCTGCAGTGGAAGCTCAGAGCCTTAACCACGGGACCACCAGGGAAGTCCCGAGACAGAAATTATTGATGCAAGTAAAATTCTGAGTTGAGAGCTGTTACGTTGTGACAGTATTAACCACGGAAGGTTTTTTTTTTTTTTTGTGGTAAGAACACCTAACATGAGTTCTACCTTCTTCACACAGTTTTAAGTGCACAAGACAGTACTACCTACAGGCACAATGTTGTACAGCAGAAACCAGAACTTCCTCATCTTGCATAACTGAAACTTTGTACCATGTGAAAGCAACTCCCCGCTCCCCCTGCCACCTGGCCCCTGGTAACCACTGTGCTACTCTCTGCTTCTATGAGTTTGACTATTACTCTATTTAGATTCTTGATAGAAGTGGAATCCTGCAGCATTTGTATGGAGGTTCCAGTAGGGAATTTAACATGTGCTTCGCATAATGTCTATGTACTTTAAACACCTCATGACAGATGAAGGAAAACAAGTGACTATAGCTCTTTCTAGAAGCACCACTCTGTCTTTACAGACTAGATACAACAACATAAGGTTCTGTTTCCAGTACTTTTACCCTGATTTTACTGCAGAATGATAAATAGTTCTAAATATGCTTGTATCAGCTAGCTTCTAATCCCAAGAATGTCCCGGGTGTCTCCTCAGAGGGCCTGGTTCCCTCGCAGAGCCTCAGGGGGTCGCTGGAGCTGGGCAGGAAAACAGGACTTTCCATGAGACCTACCCACTCCACTTTTCTTTCTTAAATCCTTTAAAATACTAGTAACATCCCCTGTGTACTCGGCGTGCAAGGCTTTGAACTCACGGCTCTGGGTGTTTACTCTAGAATCCTCCTGCCTGCACACTGTCTGACCCAAAGCTCATGCTCTTGACTGCTGTCCCCACTGGTCCATGTTCCCTCCAGCCAGGCTCCAAAAGCCCGGAACTCTCGTGTTGTCTCCAGAGGGACCTACTGCGGCCGATCTCCTGTCCGGGCCAGACCAGGCCACCTTTTGGCCAACCTCATGCCATTAAAAAAATTAAAAAAAAATTTTTTTTTTACTTTATTTAACTAATTAATTAATTAATGTATTTGGTTGTGCCGGGTCTTAGTTGCCGCGTGTGGGATCTTCGTTGCGGCATGTGGGATCTAGGTCCCTGAACCCTGGGGATTTAACCCTGACCCCCTGCATTGGGAGTGCCGAGTCTTAGCCACTGGACCACCAGGGAAGTTGCCCCCCAATTTTTTTTTAATTGTGGTAAAATACACATAACATGAAATTTACCATCTTAACCATTTTTAAGTGTACAGCTCAGTAGTGTAAAGTCTATTCACATTGTTGGGCAATGATCACCACCATCTGTCTCTAGAACTTTTTAATTAATTAATTTATTTATTTGGCTGTGCCGGGTCTTAGTTGCAGCATGTGGGATCTAGTTCCCTGACCAGGGATTGAACCCGGGCCCCCTGCATTGGGAGTGTGGAGTCTTAACCACTGGACCACCAGGGAAGTCCCTAGAACATTTTTCATTTTGCAAAACTGAAACTGTCCCCGTTAAACACTCACTACCCATTTCCTCCCCCCCTCCGGACCCTGGCAACCACTATTCTACATTCTGGTTCTGTGAATGTGAGTACTCTAAGCACCTCATATAAGTGGAATCATGTAGTATTTGCCTTTTTGTGACTAATTTATTTCCCTTATCATAATGTCCTCAAGGTTCATCCATGTTGTAGCATGTCTCAGAATTCCCTTCCTTTTTAAGGCTGAGTAATATTCCATGCATATGTATATACCACATCTCTCTCTTGTTTTTTTGGCTGCACCTGTGGCTTGCAGGATCGTAGTTCCCTGACCAGGGATTGAACCCGAGGCCAGAGCAATGAAAGCGCTGAGTCGTAACCACTGGACTACCAGGGAACTCCCACCATATTTTATTTATACATTCATCTGTTGATGGACACTTGGGTTGTTTCTACCTTTTGGCCATTGTGAATAATGCTGCTATGAACATGGGTGTACAAAGAACCAAGTGCTGCTTTTAGCACAAATCTCAGTGTCATGGCTTTGTCCCCTGCTCTACTCTTAGGTGTTACCAGGGGGGCATGAAAGGCGGACACGTCACCCTTTTAAATGTGTGCACACATACCTCTTCTATTTGTGATGGGATGCTTGGTGCAGAGTGAAACCAATATTTAACCAGGCCTCTGTATTTCAGCACCAGGAAGAGACAGGCCCCCACCAGCACTGACAGCAACAGAAAGGTTCCCATAGAGATCAGGATGACTTGTTGAAGCTTGGTAGAGGCTAAACAGGTGACATAAAAGTGAACAAGATGACCATCCTACATACGATACAAACATTGGGTAATTTCTCATCCACCACTGCAATAAATAGAGTTCATGTCCCAGTAAACTGGATGGATACTGCCCCTCCTCCACCCAGCCCTGTATGCTTTAATTAACAGCTAGTAAAGGCAAGCCTAAAACAAAGCAAGTGTTAGCTGTCTGGCAGCTCTTGCTACTGGAGACTTTAGCACAAGCTTGTTATGTCTACAGTGAAGTGCTGTCCTAGCCCCTTCTCTCTGGGTCTCCGCACTCTCACCACCCTCCACCTAATAAGGAATCCCTGACTGCACTATTTTAGGAGTGTTCTGTTCCCAGCTCAGAAAGGACTTAAGAAAGCATACATTACCATCCACTGTTGTTTCGGAGCAAGATATGTTGCTTAAATGCCCAGGTCTAGAGATGTTTTCTTTTGCCAAAAACAGTTCTGCCTTGAGTTGGAAACAGTATACTCTTAAGGGTTTTAAATCATTCAACGTGATGAAGTTGCTCCTGAAACGGTGTGTCACCTACGTAAAATACACCAAGAACCACACCTGAAAATCACCCACATAGACATGGTCAAGCCCCTTCCATCTTCTCCAATGTTTCCTCAAATTCACACTGAACACAATAACCAAAGAAGAAGGTAATTCTGTTTCTAAACAAACAGAATACCAATTTTGTATGTATCACATATGCTTATAGCAGACAAATTTTATATGTGAAAATTGGTGAGGAACGTCAAGAAAGATGCTGATGGCATTAGAGCTGTGTTTCTGGCTGTGAGGTCCGAGGGCCCAACCGAAGCCCCATCACAGCAGTGGAGGGTCCAAAGCTGGAGTTTAGCAAATCCCAGTTTCTAGGACGAAATTTTCTCCTTTCAAATGAACATTTTGTATTTCATGGTTAATCTCATCTAGATACTTGACGTTAGTCAACAAATAAAGGAAAAAAGTCATTCTAGGAAATAATGTTCCTTTGGTTCCCAATCTGCTTCTGGTTTTCACTGAAATGTGCTGACTCCTTTTATAGTTTTGGTCGAAATGATCTGAGTGATTTATGTCATCAGGAAAGAGCTGGGTCCCAAATTCTTAGCGGATTCTGTCCCCTCCTTCCCTCCCTGCTGCTACCCTCCCTCGGGTCTTGTCACCTCCACATGGTCAGTCAATGGTCCCTCACTCTCACCTCAGACAAACTGTCACTGTTCCACAGGGAAAGGAGGAAAAAACCCACTATATTACAGCTATATATATAGGATATATATAGCTATATATATATAGGATTTCTCATAAAGGACTGCTTTCATTTTTTTTTTTTTTTTGGCTGCTGTGGGTCTTCGTTGCTGTGTGCGGGCTTTCTCTAGTTGCGGCGGGCGGGGGCTACTCTTTGCGCGGTGCGCGGGCTTCTCATTGCGGTGGCTTCTCTTGTTGCGGAGCACGGGCTCTAGGCGTGCGGGCTTCAGTAGTTGCGGTGTGTGGCCTCTGTAGCTCCGAGGCATGCATGTGGGATCTTCCCGGACCAGGGATCGAACCTGTGTCCCCTGCATTGACAGGCGGATTCTTTTTTTTTTTTTTTCTTGCGGTACGCGGGCCTCTCACTGTTGTGGCCTCTCCCGTTGCGGAACACAGGCTCCGGACGCACAGGCTCAGCAGCCATGGCTCACGGGCCCAGCCGCTCGGCGGCATGTGGGATCTTCCCGGACCAGGGCACGAACCTGTGTCCCCTGCATCGGCAGGCGGACTCTCAACCACTGCGCCACCAGGGAAGCCCCAGGACTGCTTTCTGATTTTGAGATACTACAGTAGAATATACTATAGCCATTTGAAATGGTGGAATATCACACACACTCCGGAACGTGGAGGTGAAGCTGCTTACATATGTTGACTGAAAAAAGGCAGATTTTTCAACAGTATATAGAACATCATCTTATTATTTACTTATTTATTTGGCCACGCTGCGGGACCTAAGTTCCCCGACCAGGGATTGAACCCACGCCCCGTGCAGTGGAAGTGCGGAGTCTTAACCACTGGGCCGCCAGGGAAGTCCCATGATCTTATTTTTAAAAATACAAAATGATCATATTATATTTGAATAGTAGGATTAGAGATGAGTTTTAATTTTTTTCCCTCCGATTTGAAATGATGACTGCCATGGCAGAGGAGAAACATTTTTACTCCTGATGCCACATACAGCAATTTTAAGGACAACATTCTTTTTGAGTAGTTTATTTTGGCAGCCAGTTGGCTATTCCAAAAGTTAGAATCACAGACTGCGGAGAAGAGCTACCATGCAGGCCTGAGACCGCTGTCCTTAGAAAGGCTTGCTTGCAAGGCTGACCCAAGGCTGGCATCTGGGACTTGGATTTGAGCAGTGTTTCCACCATTCCCTGACTGATAAGGGTGGTTTCGTGTATAAACAATGCTCTTTATGCTGAACACCTGCTCTCCCTCTGGGAGTCTGGAGTTTTGGTGTCTATGTTGGGCAGAGGGTGCCCCAGTGACCAGCCCCTGGGCACTGAGCCTCTAACGAGCTTCTCTGGTAGATAAGATTTCACACGTGCTGTCACGTCACTCTTGTTAAGTGTGTCCTGGGTGACTTCCAGGGGAAGACTCGGAAGCTTATGCCTGGATTCCTTTAGACTTTGCCCCATGTGCCTCTTCCCTTTGCTGAGTTTGCTTTGCGTCTTTTCTCTGGAATAAATCACAGCCTCGAGTACAACTATACACTGAGTCCCATGCATCCTTCGAACAAATCTAGGGGTTGGACTTGGGGACCCCTGACATACAGACTCACAGCTGGAATGGAGATCGTACAGGTGGCTTTCAGAGTTACTTTAGCCCCAGAATCTTTTGTTCATGAAAGTCCAAAGTATACATGGTCTGGCTGAAAGGGAGAAAGGGGAATCCCTTCTGCATTCTTCCAGGCGTTCTCTATTCCAGTTGACCAGAACTTGACCTCAGGATTTCCGGAAACGATTATTTCTTTCTTCCCTATTTGCTAAGAGTCTGTTCTTCAGTGAGTTTTGCCTTCCTCGGTGTTTTTACACTCACCACAAAGAAATGAAGAGCAAGTGCAAACATCAACTATGTGGGAGAGAAACAGCAATTAAGAGCATGGACCCTGAGGCTAGATGTCTCCTTTGCTTTGCTGTCAGTTGCTGGCCTTGGGCTAGTTACTTAACCACTTGGTTTCCCTCTCTGTGAAACAGGTGGGTGTAAAGGTTAAATGAGATGACGTATCTAAAGTGCCTGGGCCAGGTGCCAGACACAAAGAAAGCTCTGGATAAACATAAGTTCTTATTCTTATAAAAAATTATAATAATGTTGAACTTAGGAAATCACGAATTTACACAGGTAGTAAAACATCACTAAATGTAGCTTGGAGGGACTTCCCCGGTGGTCCAGTGGTTAGGACTCCACGCTTCCACTGCAGGGGGTGTGGGTTCGATCCCTGGTTGGGGAACTAAGATTCCGCATGCCGTGCGGCGTGGCCAAAAAATAGAGGGAAAAAAATGTAGCTTGGATAATCAGATACTGGAGGTGATTAGAGGCCATCAGTTTTTTCTTGTGCTACCCAGGGCTGACCAGACCCCTTTTGGTCTGACCCACCTTTGTCAACCTTACCCTGCCCCAGCCCCTCACGTGGCCTGCATTTCTAAAGGATCCGAGCACGTGCAGTTCCCCAAATGTGCTGAGCCTTTTCAAACCTACTGGCCCTTCTCCCTAGAACACTCTCTCTCCTTCCAGTAGACTTTTCACCTATCCATATTGCCCTCTTTGCAAACCATGCAAACCAGAGAATTCATATAGTTAAACCTTGCAGACTGCAGTAGTAAATTCATTGCTGTAGAAACAGGCCCACAGAAGCTCCCCAAACTTCGGAGTGTGGCAAAGGCACCATGGGCACCGGCTGAGTCCAGACCCAGACCATGGGGACCATGTGATACCAGGCAGAGGGGGCCCTGCAGATGGGTCTGGTGGGAGGGGAGTCTCAGCACAGTGAGTAGAAGCAGAGGTCCTGAAGAGAAAGATCAAAACCACTAAGGCTCAGCCCCTAAGGGGATACTGGGATACCCTGGTGTCCCTGGCCACTTTAAAGTAGACTTTCTTTTGCTATCCGTAAACTCCAAAGAAATGAAAATCAAAAACAAAGAAGAAAAATGCTCTTGCCTGTTTGCTTCCTCCCTTTTCCCAGTAGTAGACATAATACCAAAAAAAGGCCACCGAGGCAGGGACATCAAAGGGAGAAGAAAAGCTGATGATAAGGGAACCCTCTTCTGGGGTCACCCAGATGTCTTCTGGAGGCCCGATGGTGGCTGAAATAGAATTACAAACAAAATCAATCCATCAGTCTATGTATATACGTAGATACACATATATACATACACATGTACATCATATATATATATATATATATATATACAGGATATGTATATTGTACATGTAATTATACTTAGTATGGTACACACATGCATATATTTATATATGCAATGAGATTGCATTCAGACTACCAGAGGCTGTTCTGGGCACCAGATTTACTTGGAAGGCTCCGGGGCAGGTAGCCCAGTGGAGCTACAGAGTGGCCCCAGGGGTTTCTAGCCTTCGGCGGAAGGAGGGGTCCTCACAGTTGTCCACATGGCCGCGCCTGCCCACCCCCAGGAGACAGCTCAGGTACAAGGATCGGGCAGGTACAGGGCACTCCCTGGCTCAACCACAAGAGCCAGTATTTCTCATCACAATTCCACAAGAAGAGTTTCCAGAGTCCCCACAAGGGACATGCCCAGTTACAAGAACCCCTTCACTCAGCAATGCCCCAGACACGGTTTCCTACCAGGTGGTTAAGACTGGCCTGGTTGAAGTGCTATTTACCAACCAGAGGTCCTTCTGACCATAAGCAATGCTAGTAAGTCAGAAAGAGAGAAACAAATATCGTGTATTAACGCATATATGTGGAATCTAGAAAAATGGTACAGATGAAGCGGTTAGCAAGGCAGAAATACAGATGTAGAGAACAAACGGATGGACACCAAGGGGGGAAGTGGCAGGGTGGTGGTGTGATGAATTGGGAGATTGGGATTGACGTATATACACTAATATGTATAAAATAGATAACAAATAAGAACCTCCTGTATAGCATGGGGAACTCTAATTCACTTTGCTGTATAGTAGAAACTAACACAACAGTGTAAAACAACTATACCCCAATAAAAAAAGAAAAAGAAAAAAAAAATAACGTGGCTCATATGCCACCTTTATCAGGTTTCCAGAGAGCTGAAAGGTTAACCAAAGGTCAAATTTTCATGCAGAGAGGGAAAAGATTTTGTTAGCCCACCAAAAGTGGTGTTTACAAACTTTTAAGTATGTGTATCTTTCTAGCTTTTTCTAATACAATGATTAAATATAATAACTGAGAAATATTACCATCATACATCTATTTGTTAAGGCTTTTCATATAAGTCACAGGACAGCCAAGGACTATGGCTCATAATATGCTCTTAGAAGGAAGATTACGGCATTTATCAGGTGAGCATTTAAATTGTATAATTAACCAGAGGAACTCAGATCAAAATACAGGTTGTGTCCTCCAAGTTCTAAGAGGCCTGTTTCTGCACCTTCTATACACACAGATGATCATATCAGGGTGAACAGTTCTGCGTTCACCAAAGTGGGGCTGGATTTCTCTCTCTCTCGCTTCCACACTCTGCCCTGGGTTCTCCCAGGTTGGGGAGGGTTAGGCATGTGTTCTGGTCACCTTTCTCTCTGTGTAAAAGTAACTGGTCCCTGCAGGGTTTGCACTCATGCCCTCTGATCTCCTTTGTTCTGGTGGAGGAACTAAGTCCAGACAGATACAGGGTCGGGCCTGGCCCACCTCAAGCCACAGCGATGTTAGTGGATTAGCTGTGTGTAACAAAAAGCTCTCATTAAACCCGCTCACAGATGCTGGCACTCATGTCTTCAAGCTACGCTTTTGAAAGCGAAGTGACTGGAGCATGGAACAACATGTGGACCTGCAGGCCCAGGGCCCCGCTGAGCAGATTCTCTAGACTTTTCTGTGACTTACCCACCGGAGTGGGCATGGGAGCCTGGATAACTAATCACTTAACCGCTGAAAGGTCAGCACCGAAAGACCTGCCTTTCTGAAGGGCGTGCCAGATGGAGAATCTGATACCAACGTGATGAGTCTGTCTCTCGAAGGCGGACAGTCTGCCTTTTCTCTGGGCCCTGAAGGAGGGCTCAGTGGATCTATGGGTCATTACTGATAGCAGTGTCCACAGACTGAACGATCACTCTAAACCTGGCAACACGGACTTTATATCCATGTCCACACAGATCTACGTAACAACCACAGAAGGCCATCCCCATTTCCCAGAGGGGGAAACTGAAGCCCAGAGGGACATTACTTGCCCAGAGTAACAGCCGGTAAGTGGCAGTGTTGGGATTTGAACCCAAGTTTATGTGATGCCAAAGCCTGCCCCCTTCAGGCACCATCTCATCCCTCTACCCTCAGTAAAGCATCTTCAAGTTGGTTACCCATCCTGACTTGACCGCAAGTGCTGAAAGCAGCGATGGGCTCTAAGAACACCACTGTCTTGAAGTTTACCAGTGACTCCCCACCAGTAACTAACCGAGGACATGGCTGCCCAACTCTGGCCGGGAGGAGAGAGAGCAGCAGCTGGCTGACTCTGGACCAGCGACTTCATGACAGGTCCTGCTTCTGATACCGCCATTACTTTTTTCTCCACTAATTCCCACTTAGGTAACGCTTGATAGCTCAGATGTGTGATGGTTCTCCACTCAGGGACAAATAACTTGTCCACAGAAGACCAGCCAGCAGGGACTGCACTGTCTTCTCGTACCATCCTCAAATTGCTAGCAAAAACCTTTTTTTAAAAAAATAATTTAAAAAAATTTATTTATTTATCTTGGTTGTGCTGGGTCTTAGTTGCGGCATGTGAACTCTTAGTTGCGGCATGCATGTAGGATCTAGTTCCCTGACCAGGGATCAAACCCGGGCCCCCTGCACTGGAAGTGTGGAGTCTTAACCACTGCACCACCAGGAAAGTCCCTTTCTTAGCTTCTATTACAGAAAATTTCAAACATATAGAAAGTAGAGAGAAGACTGTAAACAAAGCTCATATACTCATCACCCAACTTTAAAGCAACCATCAAGCCCTGACAAGTTTTGTTTCTCCTGTGCCCATCCACCTTGTAAGGACCACCTTGCCCCTCCCACTCTCTGGATTATTTTGAAGGAATCTCAGACATTACATCATTGCATCTGTAAATACTTCAGTATGTATCTTGAAAAGACCAGACTCCCCGCCTTTTTAAAAAAACATAACAAAATACCATTACAACACCTAAAGTATATTAGCAACAATTGCTTTATAAATCATCAAAGATCTAGACAGTGATCACATTTCCCCAATTGTCTTATACCTCTGTTTAATTTGAATCAGGATCCCACGAAGTTCCACACTTTGTGTTTGCATAGAGACCGGAGAAACATTAGGCACGGCTGACCATGTGAAAAATGAATAATTGAAGGAACACATCTATAAACTAGTGTCTGACGACTCTCATGCTCCCTTCCAACATCTGGGAGCATATCTGTTCATTCAATCGTGCCACAGATATTTTCTCCTATGTGCCAGGTACTGTTCAAGGCTGAGCTAAAATGCTTCCTGAACGTAAAAGAAGTTGTGCCATGTAACAGTGATCAGTGAAGCCAATATGCTAGTATTCCCTCCAGCACAGAGGTTAGCAAACTTTCTCAGTAAAGCACCAGAGTGAACTGAGGCTCTGACTGGTCATGCAGCCCCTGTTGCGACTACTCAGCTCGCCTGTTGCAGCTTGGAAGCAGCCATAGACAGTATATGAAAAGATGGGGAAACAGCATTCCGATAAAACTTTTTTTTTTAAAAATTGAAGTATAGTTGATTTACAATATTGTGTTAGTTTCAGGTGTACAGCAAAGTGATTCAGTTATACATGTATTCTTTTTCAGATTCTTTTCCATTATAGGTTATTATAAGTTCCCTGTGCTATACAGTAGGTCCTTGTTGTTTATCTATTTTATATATAGTAGTGTGTATATCTTAATCCCATACTCCAAATTTATCCCTCCCCCCCTTTCCACTTGGGTAACCATAAGTTTGTTCTCTATGTCTGTGAGTCTGTTTCTGTTTTGTAAATAAGTTCATTTGTATCATGTTTTTAGATTCCCCATGTAAGTGATATCATACAATATTTCTTCCTCTGACTTACTTCACTTATATGATAATCTCTAGGTCCAACCATGTTGCTGCAAATGGCATTATTTCATTCTTTTTTATGGCTGAGTGGCATTCCATTGTACATATATAACACATTTTCTTTCCAATAAAACTTTACAAAAACCGGTTGGTGGGCGGGATTTGACCTGCAGGCTGCGGTTTGACAACTCCCAGGCCTAGCAAATCACCCTCCCCTAGCCCCAGCTTCCGTGGTCAGTACTCGGGTTTGACCATCATACCCACCTGGGTGCTGGTTATTTAGGGTGAGAGGCAGGACGGAGGGGCGTGGAGTCAGTACCGCTCAGCGAAAAGGAAAGTGAAGAAAACCTGCAAACGTTGAAGGAAGTTTGTACCCAAGTCGTCTTACCATTCCGATAGTGTTCGAACCAAGGCGCCTTTACCCAGGCAGAGACGAGGTCCCCCAGCTTAGCTCGGAGGCGTAAAGTGATGTTGAAATGCCGTGGGAAGCCCTCTGAGAGGCTGTTTGCGGTAAAGTTGCACTCTGTCCCGGTGAGGTTCGTACAATCCACCCTGCTGTCTTTTCTGTTGACGTCATACCAGGTACTACTAGTGCTGCTGCAAAGGGAAGAAGGATTTTACTTTGCACAAGTCTCTCTTTGATCACCTATTAAGTTTCCCCAGAGATGAGTTTTTATTTATTTATTTATATTTAATTTTTTTTTTTTTTTGCGGTACGCGGGCCTCTCACTGCTGTGGCCTCTCCTGTTGCAGAGCACAGGCTCCGGACGCGCAGGCTGAGTGGCCATGGCTCACGGGCCCAGCCGCTCCGCGGCATGTGGGATCTTCCCGGACCGGGGCACGAACCCGCGTCCCCTGCATCGGCAGGCGGACTCTCAACCACTGCGCCACCAAGGAAGCCCCAGAGATGAGATTTTAATTCGATGTTTTTGATTGAGACATTGCTCACATACCATACACTACCCCCATTTAAAGTGTACAATTCAATGGATTTCAGTAAATTCACACGGTTGTGCAGCCTCAGCACAATCCATTTCAGAACACGTTCATCATCCCCTAAAAACCCCTGCACCTACAGCAGTCACTCTCCACTTCCTCCACCCCCCAAGCCCTACGGTACCACTGATCTACTTTCTATCTCTACGGATTTGCCTGTTCTGGACATTTCATAGAAATACAATCATAAACTATGTGGTCTTTTGTGACGAGTGCCCTTCACTTAGCCTGTTTTACTTAGTATGTTTTCAAGCGTGATACGTGTTGTAGCATGTAGCAGTACTTCATCCCTTCTTATGACCAAATAATGTCCCATTGTATGTACATACCACATTTAGTTTATCCACTGATCTGCTGATGGGCACCTGGGTTGTCTCCACTTTTTGGCTATTGTGAATAATGCTAAGAATATTCACATGTAAATTTCTTTATGAACTTATGTTCAGTTCTGTGGGGTGTATACCTAGGAGTGGACTTGCCGGGTCATATGGTAACTCTATTTTTAACTGATTTCCGAAGTAGCTGCACCATTTTACATTCCCACCCACAACGTATGAGGGTTCCAATTTCTCCTTAACGTCACCAACACTTGTTATTATGCCTTTTTTATTTTATTTTATTTTTTAAATAAATTTATTTAATTTATTTTTGGCTGCATTGGGTCTTCATTGCTGCACACGGGCTTTCTCTAGTTGCGGTGAGCAGGGGCTACTCTTCATTGCGGTGCGCAGGCTTCTCATTGCAGTGGCTTCTCTTGTTGCGGAGCAAGGGCTCTAGGCACGCGGGCTTCAGTAGTTGTAGTACACAGGCTCAGTAGTTGTGGCTTGCAGGCTCTAGAGCGCAGGCTTAGTAGTTGTGGCGCACAGGCTTAGTTGCTCCGCGGCATGTGGGATCTTCCTGGACCAGGGCTCGAACCCGTGTTCCCTGCATTGGCAGGCGGATTCTTAACCACAGCACCACCACGGAAGCCCATGCCTTTTTTATTGTAGCCATCCAAGTGGCTGTATTTTCCCTAGTCACTAATGATGTTGAGTATCTTTTCACGTGCTTATCGGCTATTTGCATATCTTCTTTGGAGAACTGTCTACTCAAATCCTTTGTCTGTATTTTAATTGGGTTATTTGCCTTTTAATTTTGAGTTGTGTAAGAGTTCTTTATACATTCTGGATACAAGTCCCTTATCAGATATATGATTTGCAAACATTTCCTGCCGTTTTGTTCTACAGTTGATTTTAATGCTTCAAACTCAGCCTCTGTAGCCTATGTCTTAGGAATGATACTGTGTTCATACAAACCATACCCATACTTCCTGCTGGTGTAGAGTTTGTTTTTACCCCATAGCTGCCCATTTAAAGAGAGTCTTGGCCACATGAAAACTTTGCCAAATGTAAGGCCATGCATCCTTGTAAGTGAGAATGCATTCCCCAGAGTCCCAATGCCACCTGCCCACGTGGGATTCTACTCGCTGACTCTGAGCTCTGTCCTTAGGTGACTGACTTGAGAAAAGGCAGGGAGGTAGCTCTAGAAGCCTCAGTAGTGCGGCAGCAGGCACTGTCCCCTCTAGGGACAGGCTGTGCCCTGGACAGCAACTCTGGCCTGGAAAGCAAGGCCAGGGGAGACAGGAGAAATGAGGCTGGGGGGTCACGGCCACCAGCTCTCACACAACACATGTGCTTCTAAGTGTACCTCTGACCCTGCCTGGAGGCTTATCTTCTGCTAATGTGGCGGATGACCAGATGAAAGCCACATCAAGATGTGTGGCCAGGGATTCCACAGAAGATGCCCACCATACTCACATACCACCACGCCCTGGGGTCACAGGCCCTAATGGGGAAAGGGACCACAAACCACAGGCACCCCCTCTCAGTCTGGGGGTGGTGTGCTTCACAAGGGGGTAAGTGATTTTTTTTTTAAGTTATACAGATACTTAAAGGTACTATAACCTTCTCCCTGCCAATCCCAGCTGTTGAACTGGGGCAAAAGGCCCTCTCCCTGATTTGCCAGGGAACTGACCACCCATGTTCCATCTCCTCCCCTCACCTCCAAGCTTTCCCCTTTCGGATTTATCCCAGGGATGCAAGGGTTTTTCAATATGCGCAAATCAATCAGTGTGATCCACCATATCAACAAATTGAACAATAAAAACCACATGATCATTTCAATAGATGTAGAAAAAGCTTTTGAGAAAATTCAACACCCATTTATGATAAAAACTCTCCAGAAAGTGGGCATAGAGGGAACCTACCTCAACATAATAAAGGCCATATATGACAAACCTACAGCTAACATCAGACTCAAGGGTGAAAAGCTGAAAGCATTTCCTCTAAGGTCAGGAACAAGGCAAGGAGGTCCACTCTCGCCACTTTTATTCAACATAGTTTTGGAAGTCCTAGCCAATCAGAGAAGAAAAAGAAATAAAAGGAATCCAAATTCGAAAAGAAGTTAAACTGTCACTGTTTGCAGATGACATGATACTATACATAGAAAATCCTAAAGACGCTACCAGAAAACTACTAGAGCTCATCATTGAATTTGGTAAAGCTGCAGGTTACAAAATCAATACACAGAAATCCATTGAATTTCAGAACTACTTTTTAAAAGTGTTTCTCAAAAAAGGTGTTTAAAAGGGCACAAGCCATCCAAATTTAAATGAGAGCTGACACATGAAGGTCAGCAGTTTGTGGGGGTGGGGGGAAGTGGAGTTCTGGAAGGTGGCCTCCCCGTCTAATTGCAAAGGGTAAAAATAAGGTGCTGTGGGCCCCATTTAAATGGATAATGAAATGGACACAGCCTCACGAGCATGGCACTGCCCCATGTCTGGTCTGGACTCCCACCCTCTTGCCCAGGCTTATGTTGAATCAGCCAGTCTGAGCCTTACCCAGCAAGTAGTCCTGGCTCCTGGCAATGTACTCATGTGGATGGCCTCTGTCCCTTTTACCTAATTTTGAAAGCAACCTCATCATGAGAGGGAGAACAGCATAATGATTAAACACATGGACTCTGGGGCCAGATTACCTGGGTTCAAATCCCAGTTACTTCACTTCTCTGTTCCTCAGTCTTCTTATCTATAAGATGGGATGAACTATAGCATCTGACTCTCAGGGTTGTCCTGACAGTTGAAACAGTGGACACCAGGAAAGTGCCTGGATCAGGGCCTGGTGCCTAGTAACCACCATCTAAATGTCTGTTAAACACCTGGGCAACCAATGATTTCACTGTCCAGCCTCTGTTACATCACTTCCAAAAATGATGAAGTTTTTTCCCTTTGAACCCAGCAAGTCATCGTCCAGAAATGTAAGAAAACAATCCGACACAGTTTATGTTTGAGGACATTACTTATAACAGTCACAAACTGTCAACTATTATACCACTCGTGAGTGAGGAAAAGTTTAAAAAATCCTGAGTGATACATCATATAACAGAACATAGAATAAAAATGTTCACACAGAAATAACTGTATGAAAAAAGTGGCTACATGCTTAACTACATTAAGTTAAAAGGAAAGAAAAAAAGGAAACAGAACACAGAAGCATAACCCCAGTTTTGTTTCAGTCTTACACACATGCTGGCACATTTGCAAACAACTGCATGTATTTAGAAAAAAATGTCTAGAGAGAAATACACTAAAATGAGAATAGTGATTTTTCTTGGACAGCAGGTTGTTTTAATTTTATTCTTTTTACTGGATTTTCCACATTTTCTATAAAGAAAATGTATTGCTATTAAAATTATAAAACAATGACATTTAAAAAATGCCTTGGGAAGACTGGGCAAGTGGGGTGTGACCTAGAAAGGGCCCTGCTGTCTGCCTGTTTTTATTTTCAAGAAAAAACAGAAATTCGGTTCTTTTTTTTTTTAAGTGAAATCTCCAGATGTTTAAATGTTGGCACTAATTGGAAAAAAAAAATTAAACACTGTGACCAAACACAGACTTTAGGCCACATGATCTGCAACTTCTGATTTATACTTAAAATTTGCCCACAAAGTGCTCTATGTAATTTTGGCTTTGCTACTGTGACTGTCAAAAAACAGAGGCACGTTTATTTATAATTATAGTGATGTTTTCCTGGAGAGAAACAGAATGGAAACTTTTAAGTCCCAGGAGCCTCAAAATTAAATTATTTAATGTAACTAAAATGTCCTAAACATGTGAAAGTACCTAGAAACAAACCAACAAAAAAAGCAAAGGCCCTCTTCCATGATCAAATCTGTAATTGGAAAAGAAAACAAAATTAGCTTCTGTTTGAGTTTTCAGTGGCCCCCTCAGCTTTTACAAATAGGGACATTCACATTCAACACATCACATCCCAAACCAACCTCTAACCTGGTAAAATATCTACAAAATGCTTTCCGAACAGAAAACACAGTGAAACAGGTTGGTCTGTGATGTGAAACTGTCAAAGGCTTTAACAAATACTTCTAATATTTAGAGGTGCTCTGTCAACCCACAAATGTACTTCCCCAGTCAAGGCTAAGGAATGCTAGTCAACAGATCAGCTGTAACTTCCCCTTACTGAAATCTTCTTGTGTGGCTCTAGGATACCATATTTACTCAATGCCGAGCAGGACCAGCTTCATGGGCATGTGACCTGCGCAGTGGCACAAAGCTGTACTCCTAGGAGGGCACCTGGTTTGAAGCTCTGCTTTACCATCCTGAAATTCTCAATAGTTTTTGCACAAGGGGCCCTACGTTTTCATTTTGCACCAGGCCCCGCAAATTATGTAGCCGGTCCTCATGGACTGGTCCTTTTATTACAGATGATCATGTTTGTAATTTATAATTACTTAAGAAATAGATAAATGCGATCCAGAGATAGTACTCAAATCCCAGTTCAGAATTTATTTTTGTTAAGCAAGTATTGTTACAATGGACAGTTCACGATGAAAACGAAGTCATCTGGAAACTACTCCTCTAACAAATTAACCATCTGTAATTTTTCTACATTGCCTGCCTGCTCTTGACCACAGACTCATTCCATGTCACATACAGTTGCACCTGCTGTCATGTGACACATAACTACCCTTTTTACTGGTCACCTAAGGGTTCATCCATAAGTTAAAACTTGACACAGTTTGCCACCTTCCTGCTAATGGACATGAATAGACACTTCAATGTATCAGTATATCTTCATGAATGTAAGTTTGTTTTTTTTTCCTGATGGGGGGGGTCGTATTGTCTGCCTAGGATAAAAGTAACATGGACATCCCTACGACTGTAAGTGAAGAGTAGAATTATTTTCTAAGGGGGCTGTGCTCATAATTGATCCTGATCCAGCACTGTATCCACCAGCCACATTCTCAAAAGCACTGAGCATTCCTTTTTTTTTTTTTTTTTCGGTATGCGGGCCTCTCACCGTTGTGGCCTCTCCCGTTGTGGAGCACAGGCTCCGGACTCGCAGACTCAGCGGCCATGGCTCATGGGCCCAGCCGCTCCGCGGCATGTGGGATCTTCCTGGACCGGGGCACGAACCCGTGTCCCCTGCATCGGCAGGCGGACTCTCAAGCACTGCGCCACCAGGGAAGCCCCTAGCATTCCTATTTTTTAAAATTTTGCTTATTTAGTAATCTAAAAGTGACTTAGCCGATAATTTTTTTTTTGTGTGCACCGTGTGGCATGCAGGATCTTTGTTCCCCGACCAGGGATTGAACTCACGCCCTGTGTATTGGAAGAGTGGAGTCCTAACCACTGGACTGCAAGGGAATTCCCACAATAATTTTAACTTAGTCTCCACTTAATTCATTTAACAAGGTAAACAAGGACTTGGATTTTGCCTTTCTTCTTCCCCTATGTGTCTATACTGCAAATCAAGTGACGGCAAACTGTAAAAAAGCTTGAAAAGTAGGTGAGAGACAGAATGAGGGGCCGGAAAAAAATGCAAAATGGAACACCAGCTTAGAAACTGAGAATTAATAGTTCATTAGATGAATAACTTCCTTATTAGGCCAAATTTGGCCCACAAGCCTAAATAAACCAGATTTTGACACTTGAAAGAGATGAAGACCAAAAGATGCCTCTTGCCCTTTCAAGACAGGAAGGCTTTTTATGCATCTTCTCTTGAAACTGAGGAATCCGCTTTCACCAAACTAAGCAGTCATGTGGTTAGACCGCTGAGTTCTCTGATGGCCAGGGTCCTTTCAGCCTTCAGATGCATGGGGTGTTGTGAAATCTCTGTCCTTGGAGATGTAAAAAGTACAAGAGAATTATCTGCTTCCCATGGATTTGCTTACAATCCTGCCAAGAGGCAAGAACAGGCAGCTGGCCTCAGCTTCCGTAACAACCTCCCAACCCCAGCTCCCAGTAAGAATGCCAACAGAAATGTCGCTTACTATTTATACTGCACCTGGTAGACCACCAGCCTTGTGTCATTGTTCAGGGACACGGGCTCCCAGCTCAGAGCCTGCTGGGCGTTGTACAGGTGAACCTTCAGGTTTCGAGGAGCAGGCAGCTGGAAGGGGGTGTCTTGACAGGGACAGAGAATAAGAGAAGGGGGGAGAGGAGGGAGAGAAAGGGAGGGTCAAGAGGAGAAAAATCGATTACAAAAATATTCCAATGCACTCTACCAGACCATTCCTACGCCTTGGTTTTTTTTGTTTTTAACTAATTGCTATTGGAGTATAGTTGCTTTACAATGCTGTGTTAGTTTCTACTGAACAGCAAAATGAATCAGCCATACATATACATATATCCCCTCTTTTGGATTTCCTTCCCATTACGCCTCGGTTTTTGGTATTACCCGTTCTCCCCTACTCCTTTAGCCTTTGACTAAAGACGGCACCACTGACACAGACCGTGGGAAAAAGGGGGGCTTGGGGATGCCTTTCCACTTGCAGGTTCCAGTCCTTATGAATGGGTCCTGGGTATGGGGTCTGGCTGAACCAGAATGCCTGTTTTACGTTTAGTAAGTGTGGGTAACTTAACAGCCCGGGCTTCTGTTTCTTCGTCAGGAGTAAGGAATAAGTAACAGTAGACTGCAGAAGGCCGTGGAGAAAATTAACTTGATGACCACTTGACATGCATTAGACCCAGACTTATACCAAAGGAGTGTTTGGTAAACGTCCACAAACATGGGTGCGCACACACACACACACAGACACACACACACACACACACACAGAAACATACCCCAAACCAGGTGTGCAAAGCCCACAGACACCTGGGAGGGTGAGGACTTGTCTTCTGGGCTTCATCAGAGTCACTGTGTTTCTCAAAGACCCCCCCCCAGCATCACAAGCACTGAAGTTAAAATGCAGATTCCCAGGCTCCACCCCAGACCAGGAATTCTGCATTTTCAACAAGCTTCCCAGCTGATTCTCATGCACACTGAAGTTTGAGAACTACAAACGATAGAATAACACATTCCCCAGGGAACTGCCACCAAGATCTGAATCCCCCTTTTCGGGGTGACCTGGGAGACACAACTCCAACCAGGTGCTTTACAGGATTGGGCTAGAGGCTGCCCTCACGGGAGCCTTTGCTCTAGTAAGAAAACAGACCGTAGTGATAGACTTTCTCTGAGATTTAAAGATTAATGGGGACTGCCCTGGTGGCGCAGTGGTAAAGTATCCGCCTGCCAACGCAGGGGACGTGGGTTCGATCCCTGGTCCGGGAGGATCCCATATGCCACAGAGCAGCTAAGCCTGTACGCCACAACTACTGAAGCCCGTGAGCTGTAGGGCCCGTGTGCTGCAACTACTGAAGCCTGCATGCCTAGAGCCCATGCTCCGCAACAAGAGAAGCCACCGCAATGAGAAGCCTGTGCAACAAAGAGTAGCCCCCGCTCGCTGCAACTAGAGAAAGCCCACGCACAGCAACAAAGACCCGACGCAGCAGACAAAAAAAAAAAACCAAAAATAAAACATTAATGAGAAACACCCAGAGGTGGAAAGTAAAGTTTGAAAAACATGCCGTTCCAGAATTCAAAGCAGGAAACTCAAACCACACAATTTCAGTAAATGCATCCAATCTTAAAGAAGGATGCCCGGATCAGCTGATAGCCTGGCCCACTGCTCTCTTCTGAAAGGTACATTACCTAGAGTCTGTGGCCACTTGTTTACTTACAGAATGTCCACTGTCTTCACAGCTATGACCTTGGGCTGACCTCCATTCTAGATCTTAATTCAAGCAGCTCACCAGCACTGCTGCCAACTCATACCAGGCCTCATGGAAGCTGGGCCAAAGGCGCAGCATGGCGGGAGGCTGGTCTCCTGGTCAGGCCCATCCCACTCACTGTGGCTGCTATAGCCCAGTGGATGCCAAAGCTGAGCTGAGAAATGAAGTTCTCCTTCCAGGGAGGGATGTGCAGGGTCTCAGGGTGAGTGCTTGGTTGGGGCTGGGCACTCATCAGAGCATCCCGGAGACCTTCTACTGTCTATATTAGTTTCCTAGTTTTAAAAAATTAATTAATTAATTAATTTTTGGCTGTATTGGATTTTCATTGCATGCGGGCTTTCTCTAGTTGTGGCGAGCTGGGGCTACTCTTTGTTGTGGTGCGTGGGCTTCTCATTGCGGTGGCTTCTCTTGTTGCAGAGCACGGGCTCTACGTGTGCGGGCTTCAGTAGTTGTGGCTCGCGGGGTCTAGAGTGCAGGCTTGGTAGTTGTGGCACAAGGGCTTAGTTGCTCCGCGGCATGTGGGATCTTCCCGGTCCAGGGCTCGAACCCGTGTCCCCTGCACTGGCAGGTGGATTCTTAACCACTGCACCACCAGGGAAGTCCCCAGTTTCCTATTGATGTTGAAAGAAATGACCCCAAATGTAGTGTCTTAAAACAACCCAGATTTATGCTCTCACAGCTCTGGAGGTCATAAGTTTGCAGTAGGTCTCACTGGGCCCATGTCAAGGTGTCAGCAGGGCTCTGTTGCTTCTGGAAGCTTGCCTTTTTCCTTGCCTAGAAGCTGCTCACATTCTTTGGCTCATGGCCTCTACCTCCGGCAACGCTGGGCTGAGTCCTTCTTGTGCTGCCGTCTCTTTGGTTCTGACTCTCTTGCCTCCCTCTCCCATCTTCCAAGGACCCTTGTGATTGCACTGGGCCCACAGGGCCCGACAGTCCAGGATAATCTCCCCAGCTCAGGACCCCTAATTTAATCACGTCTGCCAAATCCCTTTTGCCATGTAAGATAACGTGGTCACAGGTTCCGGGGATGAGGATGTGGACACCTTTGGGGACCCTTATTCGGCCTGCCCCAGGGCTCCTCCCCATCTCCCCATCTCTGGGGAGGGGCCAGAGGCGTTGCCCCTCCCTCCGCCCTTCTCCTGGCACCCTCTCCCCCCGTCTAAGCACTCAGCTGAGAAAGGGAGCGACAGGGGACCAGCGAAGTCTTCCACCTCAACTGGCACGTGGACCAGAAAAAAGCCTTCTGGAAAAGCTGGGGTCTCCAGATGAGTCTTCCACTTTCTTCAACTTTCATTTTACTGAGGTGTGGAGAGAGGACCTGCAGTTTTGCTCTCGTATTTGAGTTTCTTGGACTCCCCTGTCTCACCACATTCAGAGAAGAAAATGAGTCTTACGGCTGTAGATTTCACAGTGAAGTACCAGAGGCCGCCCACTCATTAACACCAACAGCTTCAACCCCGGCCCTGCACGCCTCTCAGGAGGCCCGTCCCTCAACGGCCTCCCGTGGCCTCCTCCTTGTTCCTGGGAAGCACCGGGAACCCTCCCACCTCGCCTTGCCCTTGCTGCTGCCCTTCTCTGGAGGCTTCTCTCCCCCTGTGCCAGGCTCTCTCCCCTGCTCCCTTCATGTCTCTGCTCAGATGCCACCTTATCAGAGCAGCTTCCTGCCTACGAAGCCCAGGGCAGGGGACTCCCGATCCCTGCTTTCCTTTTCTCCTAGCTTTCCCACCACCTGCGTCCTTTGTTTACACCCCGGTGGTGAGAGGCATGGATTCCAGAACTTGACTGCCTGGGTTCAAAGTCACGTGCTCTTTGCGGGACCTTGAGCAAGCTGTTTCCCTCTCTGTGCCTGGTTGCCTCCCCTGCGAAATGGAAAGAAAACAGCGCAGACTTCAAAGGGTTATTATGAGGAATGAGTGGGTTAATTTCACATGCGGTGCTGAGAACAGTGCGAGCACCACGTGATCGTTTCCTCTCCTCCTTGCTAGCAGCTCACTGACAGTCTCCCGCAACGCTAGAGCAGCGAGCTCCAGGAGGGCTGGGTGTTGCCACACTTGGGGGCTGTTTCATCCCCAGTGTCTGGAGGACCAGGCACGCAGGATCTGGGGAGCGAGTGGCTTGTAGCCCAGCGGCCTGAGTTGCTTCAGGGATTATGTAGCCAGTTTCTGTGTCCTCAGTGTTGCATTTGTCCACCCGAAACCCACGCTAATCTCAGTCTTTCTCTTCCTTGCTTTATGTGTAAGTCCTGCCTTTTCTCTGGTCTCAGTGGCTGAGGCAGGGAGGGGGTACAACTCTGGACCATGGACTTATCTGGATGGCTCTAAAGGGTCAATATATTTAGGGCCATAGCACCTTCTGTCAACAGTGTTGACAAAGGCTCTGTGGGAAGGGAAGAGAATTTCTGGACAAAGGGCTTTGGCTGGAATCCTGATCCTGCCACCTAGAGCCATGGGATCCTACCACGACCCCACCTGAGCCTCAGTTTTCCCATGAATAATGAAATGATACCACCTCTCCCAGAGATGGAGTGAGGGGCAAATGCAGGACCACGAATGAAAGGCAAACCAGACACTGCTGCCTAAGTGTGATTTTTAAGACGTGCCCATTTCAGGGTGATCTGATGGATGGCTGCTTCTGCAGGTGGCGAGCCGCAACCCGATACCCAGACCCTGCCTTCAGTGATCACCAACAGGGGGCCCAGCCCCATGCTGATCACTGTATTCAATGGTCTGACCCTGCTGTAGGCAGAACAGTGGCCCCTCCCAAAGATGTCTGTGTCCTAATGTATTCACAGGACACAGATATCTTTGGGAGGGGATGAAACTTAGGGTTCTGAGGAAGACACGGGGCGTGCACAGCCGTGTGGCTGACAGGGTCTTGGTGCTTGGCCAGGTGTCAGGCCTGAGCCTCTGAGGTGGGAGAGCCAAGCTCAGGACACTGGTTCACCAGAGACCTCCCAGCTCCACGTAATATCAAACAGCGAAAGCTCTCCCAGAGATCTCCATCTCAACGCTAAGACCCAGCTCCACTCAACGACCAGCAAGCTACAGTGCTGGACACCCCATGCCAAACAACTAGCAAGACAGGAACACAACCCCACCCATTAGCAGACAGGCTGCCTAAAATCATAATAGGATCACAGGCACCCCAAAACACACCACCAGACGCGGTCCTGCCCACCAGAAAGACAAGATCCAGCCACATCCAACAAAACATAGGTCCCACTCGCCTCCACCAGGAAGCCTACACAACCCACTGAACCAACCTTAGCCACTGGAGACAGACACCAAAAACAACAGGAACTACGAACCTGCAGCCTGCGAAAAGGAGACCCCAAACACAGTAAGTTAGGC